AATGGTTGGACGGAAAGATACCAAAATGAGTCCATTTTTTGCTTCCAAACTCAAGGCTTATTTGATGGCGGGTAAAATGCCCAAAACTTGACACATCCTCGTGCACACAATTCAGTGATACGTAGGTGCAATGGAAACGACTTCCAGGGGAACATCATTCTACACCACAATAAAAAGCTTGAACAATGAGATCTCCAGAATTATCACCTCTATCAACCCGCAACATTATGAGGAAGGTCCAGCCAGCGAAAATAAGGCTTATGCACGTGGTATCTATCTCTATGACTCATGCCTGACATCTAGCATGCAAAATCTACCTTAAACGGGGCAAACGTGAACTTAATGTAATAGCATTTCCTGCCAAATCATCTTCGAATATTCATTCCAGACATACATGATGAGTCACATCCGCAGTAACGCGACTGAAAAAGGCGAAGATCTTACCTAATGTGAGGTTTCCTTGGCTGTCTTCTGGTCGCCTGTCAACGTACTGCATAGCAACCACCACGCGACCGAAAAACAATGATGCTACCTTGCGCTCGCGAAGATTGCAATGCGCTACGCTTTAAGCAACGCTAACAAAAAACCTTCGCACCTAACGTTGATGCTTTAGCCGAAGTATGTCAAGCTATACTACAAGACGCCAAAAATATGATTTCTTTGCGGTTCTCAGACAGAATTTCCTTGCAGGTAGCATAGTGTTCCCGATTGATCGAAATCAACACAGAATTTCCGAGTGAGCATAGGCCAGGCAACATAAGTGTCCGATTGACCGGAAGCCAGGCACTCGCAGGGCCAACTAAGCCGAATTCACCATCTGATATACGTAAAACATCAGTGAAGAGCTGCTTGAAAACAACGCAACTTCACTGAAGTGACTGTCACGTCACAAAGCTACCCCGAAGTGGCTGAGCCAAGCAAAATAAGCAGCCTCCCGTGAAGGAACCAAGGAATCAAAATGTGTTTGTGACATGAAACGGACTAAACATAATTCATCACGAAACTCTCAAATACCGCGAGAACCTGATGTTAGGAAATATTCATTTTCCTTCCTAAAACTCGCAGATTCATAAGGACAAAGCAATAGCGGTCAATTGCGACTAATACACAAGGCCATTTCGTGACAGGGCCACATGTAGAACCGTTACGTGGAGCAAAACTTACGCAGAGAAAACGCAAGTTCATCCATCGCAGCAGCCTTCGAGTGTACATGCCGCGGCAAAAGACAGGTAGCATAACGAATAAATGTAATTCGCTACCCATTCATTACCTTATGAAAATTAATTTATCTGTTTAATACCTTTTGTCTATAACCTACCTATCCGTTATCTTTGGACAATGCACCACCAAACTATCATGCATGGATGATGACAATGGATGAGAAGAGAAAAGTCCCTGTCGGGTTAAATTTGGGATAAATTTGTTGGAATAAAATTATATCGAAATAAACCTTACATAACCGGCGCAAACTTGAACTACGCTTACGGTTTCATTTGGGTGAAACACTTGTATTCTCCGTAATACATCTCTACTACTCACGCCCAAATTTTGTGCGACAGGATGAAAATGACTTCTTAAGTACACACCCGTCAAGCTCTCCAGCCGGGAAAGTCGGCTTAGACAACGAATGATTTTGAGCAGTGCCATTGCTTTTCGGCTTAGTGGGTTTACATTTGCTGACCGCAAGAAGACATTTGGGCGTAGGCTTTCAGGTTTGAGTGATAATTTGTTTACTAAAGATGCTTTGCGTTTCAGCTTCTGCCATCATCGTTTTGGGGAAAACACTACGCAGCGCAGCGCAGTAACCAATTCAAAATACTCAAAAAAATACTTTCTGCAATGTAGCTCTTGAAATCTATCATGTACGTTGATTTCTTGTTTGTTAAAGATTCGCAAAGCAAGTGGCAGCGTCACCTCAGGCTGTCTTTTCGGCAGTTCTATTACAGAATATGCCATGAGCGCGTAATGTTTCTCCCCGCGCCCGTGCGTCTCGCATGTCAGTCTTGTGTGCAATCACCACACAATTTGGGCTGGGTTCAGACCCGATGAAAGCGCATCATGTAACTATATGTTGCTCCTAAAAGATATTCACAATGACTATGATTGGGACTTTCCGTGTTACCAACCGCCAGGGCCACTTCGAGACTGCATACCTTTATCAGGTACCACAAGGGGTGTGGTGGTATCAAATTAAGTATCATGAGGGGTGTGGTGGTATCATATTAGGTACCATGAGGGGTGCGGTGGTATCATGTTAGGTATCATGAGGGGTGCGGTGGTACCATATCAGGTACCATGAGGGGTGCGGTGGTATCATATTAGGTATCATGAGGGGTGCGGTGGTACCATATCAGGTACCATGAGGGGTGCGGCGGGATCATATTAGGTACCATGATGGGTGCGGTGGTATCACTGTTAGGTATCAAGAGGGGTGCGGTGGTGGCACGGCAAGAGCTTGAACCTAAGACCGCCGGTCCAGAGCCGAGCACCATACCACCACGCCACCGCCCCTCTTTGAGAGGTTACAAGCACTCAATTGGTCCTCGAAATGGGGTGTCCCGTCTTGCTTGAGCCCTAAATAGGTCAATGCACCATCGGGAACAAGGAAGTCGGTCATGTGTCGACTTCTGTGTGTCCGCGAGGGCTGTCGCGAGTCCGAGTTGCACAATGGTGCCAGGTGTCAGGGCAGCGCGGAGAGGCTCCCAACCCTTCATAAACCAGCGTTCACTCGCTTCGATAATCAGGTGCGCACGTCCAGCCAGGACGCGTCTTCGGAGGGCTCATGGCGTCGAAACTGCCATCACTCATGAAAGACAGCTTGATTGAAAGGCAATCTTTGCGTAATATTCCGTACGATGCCACTGCTACCCGATCTTCAAACAAATTCTTTGCACAACAAAGATCTTTCGACATACCACATGGTGATTATGCTACGTTACGATGGCAACCGTTCACTTTTGAGAAGGAAAATACCCTTGAGAAAACGCGTTTTCGTAAAGGACCTTATTTACCGTGCCTTGAATTTTGACGAGTGCTTTGGGTGACAACCTGATCGCCTCAGGCGGGACAGCGCATATGGTTGCCAGCCTCGGGCAACTTCACTTGCAAAATGATTTGCCTTAAGGATTGAAGGGACTGAGCGTTCAAAAGACTCGCTGGGAATATAATACCCTACCCAAAAAACGCTAACCATCATTATTTATATCGCGACGAGAAAAGTTTGATTTCAAGCGGCAGCTTCCCTCTCCCACGAGTGCGCACTGGAAATGCTGCGTATATCGCACCTGTCGCTGCGGCCCAGAGCGCCGTCAATACGGCGCATGCACGGCACTGATACCAAGCTTACACAATGGTCATGTGAAAGCCAAACCTTTGAGGGAATACTGCAGCGTACCCTGCCCGCACGAAAAAGCACACACGAATCGAAAGATACCACAATATTACACGGCGTAACGGATGTTTGGGAAGGCCCAACCCAATTAGAGGCCATTTCACTGCAAGAAACATTTCATTTCAAATATCAAGGGGGATCGGAAATAATCAGAGGCAGAAATCATAATAAAAAGATATTGTACGAACCATGGTGCAAAGCACACGTTTATAACCGACACTAGCTAGTGCGACGCGAGCCAGATTTCGAGAGCGCTAGCAGAAGAGTGCTAGCTGGTCGAAAATGTGCCCAGGAGATCGTGGCGGACCCGAACTTTACTCGTATGATGACCTCGCTTCCTCAAAAAGTTACATGCCACGCCAGAAGCAGCAGGGAGGTGGCTTGTGTCATATACAGAGTCGCGAGCACACAAACACAGGTGCCGTCCATCCTTCCCCGCACACTGGACACAAAATAACCATTCTCCGACTAACGTTTGAGCAGCACATACGAAAGCCGCCCACGGCACCAGACTTCGTATAGCTGCCGGCGTCAAAATGGCCGCGGCACTCAACATGGCGGCGCGGCAGTTCGGCCGCCTGAAGACGCTGCCCCTCCAGCACGCTGGCACAGCCTCCCAGGGGGCCGCCGCCGTCCAAAGGCACGTGGCCACGCGCTCAGGCCACCGCAGGCGCCAGACAGGTCATTCTCAACCCACCAATGCGGTGCTTAAGACGCGCATATTCCGGAATCACACGCTTAGTTTGTGCCAAAAGGAATAGTTACAAGGTTAAATATCTTGCTGGACTCCAAGACCTGGCGGGCATCGATCGAAGATGCCGCCAGAGGAATGGACCTGTAGCACTGTGCCTTTGGTCGACGGAGAGCGAACGCAGTGTTCATTACAACGTCAACGGCACGGCGACGTGCCGCGGCGTGGCATACCGGCATGCAGCGACATGGACATGCCGACGAGCCGTGCCGTGGCATGCCGACGTGCCGTGCCGTGGCGTGCCGACGTGCCGTGCCGTGGCATGCCGACGTGCCGTGACCTTGCATGCCGACGTTGCCGTCACGTGGCATGCCGTGCATGTGTACTATACGTGACGTGAAATTTTACGCGATTGTGAATGGCATTGTGCCGTGTGCGCGTTGCAGGTGTTTCGCCAAGGCGTCCATTAATGTGCTTGACTTTAAACTTACTTTGGGTTTTGAAAGGGACGTTTCGGCTTAATGTTCATATCGTTTGACCAAGGTGGATATATATATATAATATATATATATATATATATATATATATATTATATATATATAATCACATCCCGAAAGCTACCCTTACATGACAATCTGCTTGAAATATAACCTGATTCCGCTTTGGACACTATACGTTGCACCGTCTAGGACCAGCCTGTTTTCGCGCCCAGTTACCTCCAGGTGCATAACCCGCCTGTGAACAAGCCACTGTTACTTCCTTTCATCCGGATAATGCCGCCCTCGCACCCGAAGCCCCGTTACCCTACGCAGAATTCCTTTGATGGGTGGCGGGCTCCGCCGTTTGCCGTGCGGCGGGAGTGTGTGCCAGCGTGCTGGGACGGGTGGGCGGGCCCACAGCGCGGCGGACGGCACCTACCTGGCGGTCCGGTGTCATCCAGAGGTCGCTGCGACGGTCCCGGCTGCCCGCCCGCTGTGAACAGGTCAGCCCGGCGTCACACCGGCCGGCGCCGGACGGCACGCAAGCTCGGCGATGGCTCGCGGAGCTCCTGATTCCATTCAGAAGCGCGGCTTGACATCGCGGGCACACGCGCAAGCTGACATTGCTCACATTGTAGATGCTGAAGATCTAGTGCGCCGAGCCTGCTCCGCAGTGGACACGTCGGGAAGCCGGCTGGGGCAGGCTCTACTTCGTCCCTCCCCTCCCCTTCTCCCGACCGCAAGACGTGGGTGCCTCTTGCGGCGCGTCACGATAATGTGCCGCGCCGTTTGGTGCTGGTATCCTCCACGTGACTGGATCAAGCACGTATGCCATTCGTTGCCAAGATGCGAGGTCAATGTCTGCGGCTTTAAGCCACGTTACGGTAAGCACGCATGCTGTTTTTGATTATCTGTTCCTCTGTTACAACTGTTCACCACTCACCCGCTGCCGCCGTGGCGCCGCCGGCCACCAAAGCGCTGACGGAGAGGTCCGGCTCGCCGTAGCTGCCCTCGTATTCGGCCACATAGCCGAGCGTGGCGTCCAGGCTGACGTCACCGTCATCATCCTCCGTCAGGTCCACCTTCTCCACCTTGACGCCGTCCGGCGGGGGCGGCGAGGCGGCAGCCGACGGCGCCAGCCGTGGAGGCGGTGGCGGCGGCAGGGAGGACGGCGGCGGCTGCGGGGGGCGCGGCCGCCGGCGCCGGCGTGGAGGCAGGCCGCCGGCGAGGGCGGACGCGGCGCCGGCGAGTGGGCGGTGGGCGAGGCGGGCCGCGGCGCTGGCGAGCCGGTCCGCTCCTCCGGCGACGCGCGCCGACGCTTAGCCGGCGGCGTCACAGGCCGCGGCGCCGGCGGCGGCCGTGGCTCCGGCGTGCGCGCGGGCGGCGCGCCCAGCCTCTGGGCCGACACGGGAGACGGCGGCGGCGGCTGCCGACACCGCACAGGGGCCGGTGAGAGAGATGAGATCAGGGGCGGAGCGCGAGGGTCGAGGGCGAAGGGCGAGGGCCGAGGACGAGGGCGAGGACGAGGGCGAGGGCGAGGGCGAGGGGCGAGGGCGAGGGCGAGGACGAGGGCGAGGCGAGGGGCGAGGGCGAGGGCGAGGGGCGAGGGCGAGGGCGAGGGACGAGGTCGAGGGCGATCGTTTTCAAGCATCACGGCCAACGTTCTAGATCAAGCATAGTCCAAGAGAAATGTGTGACGGCCAAACAATGTTAGTCCATGCGTTATTTTTTCGTCATATGTGAAATTTCCCCCACCTGTCGTCATCGCCGCTGAGACCGCGAATCTGCAGCATCTCCGCCGTCTTGATGAAGCTGGCCAGCTGGCTCTGGGCCACGTTCACCACTGGCCCTTGTACATAAACTCGATGATGGCACGTATGGTCGCGGCCGACGTGTCCTTCAGGAAGAACCACATCTGCTGACACGGGTTGTTCTGCAACACAATGGTACTGGGATATCACATACCACACACAACGGCGATCTTCCAAGTCACGCTACGTATTTTCGCCCCAAGTATGAAAGTAACGGGGGTTACACGAGCACGCGTATACGCGACAACAGTGTAGGTTACGAAAATGGTAATTGCCTTCCGAGCATTGCCAGGGTTTCAATACGCATGCATGTGGCATGACACTGTGCTGCACATGGCTCATAGCATTATCACCACTATGTACACATGTATCAATGCATGCAAGGAGCACAGAAAACACTGCTTAAAGAACCATGGCCTTTAACTGATGCCCCCAATTTCATATCAGTGAGAGCATCTTGCATGAAAGGAGTAAGATGTGAGAAACACAATTTTAGTTCCCATGACCAACATCATTAATGACTGGATCCTTAATACATCATTGTACACAGTACTACATATGGGGATAATGTTAAGAGCAATGCCTAGCAAACTGCCCAATTTCATAATGCCCTTGGGATGCTGCCTTCTGAGGACCTGACTTAAGATGTTTTTTATGACTTTTGGGTCCCATACCCAGCTTGTGTTCTTATAGATGCTTCATCTGAGCCTGTGACAAAGGCAATGGCCCTAGCTTTTCTGCTTCTTATCTCACAATTTTTAGCACAGTTGCATGTTACAATATTGTAAGACAAGTGGGCCTGAACCCAGGATGTGGGCAGCATAGTGGTAAGAGTGCATATTGGGGAAACTGGAGTTAAGGCATTTACCTCCTGACAGTGCCAGCCATTTCTGCTGGAATGAGAGGCAAGCAGAAACATATAGCCTCAGCAGCTGAATGTGTAGTAAGTAAATCACCAACTGACGTGACCCTGATAAACTAATATTTAGACGTCATCAACCATCATGATTAAGTCCATCTTCTTCAGCTGTATTGCTCTGCACAATCAGCAAGTTGTGAGACTCTTTTTGTGACCTGGGAAAAAAGCTATAGCCACACATTATATAACTGTTGACAGCTCTTGCCTGCAGTCAGATTCTATGACCTCACAGTCATACCACCATCACTTACTTTTAGGAGATCCCTGAAGTATGGACTGCATGCAGACAGCATCATTCTGTGTGCCCTGACTTTCTGGCCTTCACAGCACAGAGTGATGTCCACCAGCTCCTCATCTTGTCGGAGGTGGTCAAAACAGAGAGGTGACACTGCTCTGGAAACCCATCCCACTTGAGGCAGAACTTCTGACCATCCATTATCTGTGGAAAATGAGTTTGATCATGTAGTGGTTGTCATGATGCATCTAGACTGGGTTTAACTACGCATAAAAGACAGCATGAAGGCCTATGGTGACAATGTCACTGGTGGTATGTCACATGCCCCAAGGTCAGAGGCTGATAGCCAGGAACTGGGACAGAATGCATGGGTGATGGCTATCATTCCACAGCATATGCCACTGACCAGATTCACACCTTAATTTATTGCAGCCATGTTCTCATCACTGTTTTTTCATACTATGGCTAGCAATGCAGTTCATTTGGGACAGCACAATAGAAGGGCTAACATTTGCAATGATGGCAAATAGGCATATGGACAAAGACAGCTTAGGGTTATGTTTAGCTTTACCAAACAGCAGTTTTTCTCTTAAGACTGTGGGTTTGGCCTGCTTCAACTTGTATCCATTTTGCCACAGCTGGCCTCTGCTCCAGCTTTGGGCCATTTCAAACATTAGACTTTGCTTCAGGTTTGTCATTTTTAATAACTGGCCTAGACTCCTGCTTACAAGAACTTTTGAATTATAACTATGGCTTTGGTTCCCAGTGAGGTTTACCTGCTTGGGCTGGACACCAGGGTTTTGCCCTGGTGTCTCTTTGTTGTGGATTCACTCCACTTACAGTGTTGTTAACAAATATTACATACAGCACTTGCAGACATGGCAAATAAGTGTGCTAGGGCCCAAAGCCAGTGAGTCATTCTTGAGACTGACATGTGCATTACATGACCACTGGACAATGATCAGAACACTGTGCAAACATTATCACATAAGATAGAAGATAGCCCAAAAAACCCTTTCATGATATGACTAAATTTTATCTCAACCACCTGCACACCCCTGCTTGTACTATCTGATCCCACATAATTTTAGAATAAAATACTTGGTTTGAAAGAAAAATGCTGTGAAAGAAAAACCATATAAGCCATTGTTTTCAATTTCAGCTTCATTTGTAGAGTTTGCTACCACTAGCCTCAGATTCGGCTTCATGTAAAAAATAGCTCCATTGGTTACATCTGTCAGTTCCAAATTATGAAGCCACTAGTGCACGCTTTGACTTCAGCCTCTCATCACCATCTCACCTCATATTTGCCTTTTGTCAGAAGCCTAGCTTTTTCCCCATGTTTGCTGTTACATTGCAAAAGCTAGCTAATGTTGGTTCATATATCATACTGCACTACTCATAAAACCAATAAACTTATCCATTTGTTATGAATTTCTCTGGGTTCACTTGGGTTATCACACTAACAGGACTATAAACACAAAGTGGACAAAACACTTGATTGCATTGTGAAAGGCCGACATCATTGTTAAATCAGCACCACGTCTTGGCCTCCTATGTTATGAACGAGGAGATAACATGTCTATGATAGGCATATGATGGTGTCAGTAGCAGTGCAGTGAGGTGATCTGTTTTAGGTAATCCATAACATAAGCCATAACAAACTATTTTTGGCCATATTTGCACATGGCCACCACCTGGTGTCAGATACCATGGATAATGGCCTGATCATGCTCATGCATACTGTGATGACATATCTAACAAATACTTGAAACCTCCATTGGCTAAATTTGGTGATGACCACGCATCAAACTCAGGGCACTTAGATTTGCAGCAACCAAGAGTTGAAACTTTTTGGTGCCTTTGCTGCTGTGTCTGACACGCTGGTGAAAATTTAACTATGAGATCTCCTTTGTGCACATTACTGCTGACATGCTCAGAAAAATATTTCATTTTGCAGTCTGGTCTGGTCTTTCCAGTCAGGCACCTCTGATACAGGAACACCACAATAAACTGGGTGTTCTTCATGAAAAGTCATAAAACACTTCACATTTAACAATGACAAAGCTGGAAAAGTACTGATCCTATATGGTTAAAACTGTGCCAAAGAAACTTTCCTGTTCATTGCATCACAGCATTGTAATCTCATTCATCACTCTGAGATATGGTGAAAACAATGAACATTCCAGCATATTTCGGCAAACCATCAAAGGCACGTAAGAAGCGAAGGCTTCCTTATACCAAATGACACCAAACATTCCATTTAACTTTAGACGGCAATACCTGAACAGGATAGACGCTGGCAATAATGCAACTCACAGGTATTCAAACTATTGCCGAACGAATTTTACGTACAATGGTAACTGGAGACACAAAAATCTCACACTTGCCAAAGCGTGTAAAGAGTCTCGGAAATAGCTGAAACACAATTCATTAATTGTAATGCGAATTTGCCATGACTACAATCAGCAACCCTTACCGCAGCGGGGTCACCAAGGCACCGACTGTGCGCATACTCGCGTCAAAATGGTCGCCGCTCGCAGCATTCACCAATACGCCCCGTGCACAGGTAGCTTACTTCGCTGCCATTCATACCGGCAACCCAAAAAGCTGGACCCAATGCAATGATTTTCCTAAATCGACAGGAACCAGTGTAAAGTATACCATTTTATCAAAGTTCTGAGATCGGAGCACAAAGATCCCTATTTTGGTTATAGAAAGAAAGACATCCCTTTAGACAACCTGCTTCATCACATCTACATGTGGAGAGCGCGCATGAAATACATGAACACGTTCCCCATAGCAAATTTGGGAAAAAAACTTATATCGAATAATTCCAATGAATGCAAAATGTTCAGAAACGGAACAAACAAGAACGGATGACTGGATTAATCATTTGTAATGCCATTTGTAATACAACAAATGGCTCGCGCCACCGTCTCTTCAATGGGATTTCAGTGAAATTTTGCCAGCTGTGCTTCGTCATTACGAAATCATGCACGCACCCTGCCTCTAAGCGCATCGCCTGGTTTCGAGCTGCTCGCCTGAAGACGCTATCTCGATCTCCAAAAAACATACAAGGACATTAGTGGTGGCCCAACGGATTGTTCCCAGAGGTGGGAGTGGTCAGGATACACTTGAGGACTAGGCATGACCGTGGCAAAAACAAAGGTAACCAAGGGCTATCTTAAAACGTTAACTTGAGGGAATGATCCCCACATACGACTGCCGAATGCCTCTCTAGTAAATCCCGAAATCCCTTCCGCCTGTGAAACGATGGATTTGACGGTAGCTTTCGCCCGACCAGGTCTTGGAAGTGTTTCAGGCAGAGATCAGAGTCGCGGTGATGCATGGTTTCTGCATAGGGTTTTATGGCATCATTGCTACAGCAAAACCTCATACTGGCAAGAATGCTACGACATAACTTCTACTGTCAATACCCATTTGCCAAATTAGTGCTACGCGACAAAACTTACAAAAGCCTATACGCTGAAGCCTATACCGGTCAATACCTCTGGTAAAAAACTTATTCAGTTATACCTCATACGCGACAACATGTCTCCTGACATTAAATTTATGGGGAATTGGTGCTTAAAGGACAAAATTAATGCCTCAAAAACTGATGCCCGGTCTAACTTCTAATGCAAAATCTTACTTACATAGACAGTTATTCTTTAAAGGGAGTGTTCCACATCTGTTTGAGATTTTGAACTCAAGTAGCCATATTGAAGATCATTCAGTGCAGCTCACAGCACTGCTCTTCTCAAGACCCAACCCGCTGCAGTTTCTGAGTTACACGCCCGTGAAGATGGGGCGTTTATTTCCGGGAAGTATTTTCAAGGTCACATTGGTATATATGACGTCGTAATAAAGCCATTCAGATCCTGACATTTTGTTAGTCATGCGACAATCAAGGCCAATAAAAATCATGATCGAGTCGTTTATATCTA